GGGAGCTGGCTCCCTCTGGCCCTGTCCTGGGGTGGGCGGGGCCAGGAGCCCCCAGGGGGCAGGCTAGCTCTGAAGCCACTGGCAGGGAAGTAGGAGGAAGTGGTCCTGAGCAGTGACCTGGGCACAAAGGCTGGCCGCGCAGGGCAGCGCTGCCTTCCTGCTACTGCCTGCCTTGGCCCAGAGATGGGACGGCCCCACAGCAGCCCCCCTGACCCGGGCCACTCCCTGCAGGACGGAGACCATGGTGGAGAAGCTGCTCACCAACTGGGTGTCCATCTGTCTCTACTCCTTCCTGAGGGTGAGGGCCCTTCTCCCCTCACTCCCTTCCCGGGCTGCTGCCTGTGGTCTTGTGGATCTGTGCCCAAACTCCCTCAGGGGCCTTGAGCATGAGGACCAGTTGGGACAGTGGTAAGGGAAGGGCTTCCAACTTTGGCCCAGGCCGGATGTAAAGTAGAGGATGCTGTCGCTGCCCACCCTTGCTCTGTGAGGCCAGATGGCTGCCCCTCCCTGAAATCCCCACCCACCATGCCCCTGAGCCTCACACAGCATGCCCGTCCCCAGCTGACGCTGGCCCGGCCCGGTGGTTGCAGGAGGTGGCAGGCGAGCCACTGTACATGCTTCTCCGGGCCATCCAGTACCAGGTGGACAAGGGCCCCGTGGATGCTGTGACAGGGAAGGCAAAACGGACCTTGAACGACAGCCACCTGCTGCGGGAGGACGTGGAGTTCCAGCCTCTGACGCTGATGGTGCTGGCCAGCCCTGGGGCTGGTGGGGCTGCGGGAAGCGGTGCAGGGCAGCACGTGCCTGCCCGGGTGCTCGACACGGACACAATCACCCAAGTCAAGGAGAAGGTGTTGGACCAAGTCTACAAGGGCACCCCATTCTCACAGAGGCCCTCAGTGCACGACCTAGATCTTGGTGAGAGCCCTCCCCCTCCGCTGGCCCTGCCTGGGTCTGTTCTCACCTGTGGATGCTCAGCTCTGCCTTGCTCGGAATGGGGGACTCGGAGAGTGGGCGGTGGGCTGACTGGCTTCCCTGGGGCCCTCAGAGTGGCGCTCAGGCCTGGCTGGCCACCTAACCCTATCAGATGAGGACCTGACGTCAGTGACTCAGAACCAGTGGAAAAGACTCAACACTCTGCAGCACTACAAGGTGCCCGGCGGGCGGGAGCTGGGGGCAGACCCCCGCCTCTGCTTCAGCCAAGGAAGGAGCCCAGCCTCTGATCACCTCCCTGCTAGGTCCCGGATGGAGCCACGGTGGGGCTCATCCCCCAGCTGCACAATGGAGGCGCCGTCTCCCAGAGCCTGGCCCAGAGCTGCCCCTCTGGGGAGAGTGAGTCCCGTGGCCCAGACGCACCCACCTGCCCCCAGGATCTTGGGGCAGGCAGGCAGGAGTCCTGGTCACGCTGTCTGCCTTGCCTGGGTCTCCCTACAGCTTGCCAGGGGGCAAGTCAAAACTCTAGGCTGAGCCAAGGACCTGGGGTGGACGAGCGTGGCAGTGTGTTCTGGTCAGGGAGCTCCAGGGCTGTAGGGTGTTGGGCTGCCACCCTCCTGTCCACATCTCTCATCCCCGGCTTCCCTCGGCTCCCCGGACCCTGTCCCCACCCCACCAGGTGAGCCTCATGGGGTGGGCGATGGGGACATAGGACTGAGGCCGGGCTTCTGTGCCTTCAGACATCCCTATGCTGGAGGACGGTGAAGAGGGCGGGGTCCGCCTCTGGCACCTGGTGAAAGCCACCGAGGAGCCGGAAGGGGCCAAGGCGCGCCGCAGCAGCCTGAAGGAGCGGGAGCGGGAACGGGCTCGGGCCAAGGCCATCCCAGAGATCTACCTCACCCGCCTGCTCTCCATGAAGGTCGGTCGGTGTGGCTGGGTGTCTGGGGAGGCTCACTAAGGGCATCCCGACTGAGCCGGGGGAGGGGGGACAGCGTGGTCCCAAGAGGCAGAGGGGCGGCCCCACCCACTGAGGGAGGATGGGGCTGGCCACAGCTTTGAGGGCCCCACACCCTGCCCCATACCGTCCTTCCCTGCCTCCCAGGGCACACTGCAGAAGTTTGTGGATGACACCTTCCAGGCCATCCTCAGCGTGAACCGGCCTGTACCCATCGCTGTCAAGTACCTGTTTGACTTCCTGGACGAGCTGGCTGAGAAGCATGGCATCTTGGATCGGGAGACCCTGCACATCTGGAAGACTAACAGGTACCTTGCTTGCTCCCCCTGGCCCCTGAGCAGGTGGGACCTGGGGTCCCAGAGAAACCAGGACTCGCAGGGCAGCTCTCGGTGGAACTCAGGGCTGGGGCAAATGTTAGAGTAGCCATACCTCACACGTTCGGCTGGCCTGTCCCCAGCCTGCTGTTGCGGTTCTGGGTGAACACTCTGAAGAACCCACAGGTCATCTTTGATGTGCGGGTGTCAGACAACGTGGACGCCATCCTCGCCGTCATCGCCCAGACCTTCATGGACTCCTGCACTGTCTCGGAGCATAAAGTGGGCCGGGTGGGTGAGGGCAGGGCAGGTGGTGGCAGCCAGGGGCTTGAGGAGGAGAGGCTTGTCGGGGCTCGGCACAGAGCCCTGGGTGGGGCTTGGGGGCGGCGAATAATGGGGTCAGGAGGCCAGGGGAGGGGACACCAGTGGCACAGTCAGACTGACAGGGCCGGAGCTCCCCCACCTCCCCACTCATGCCTACCGCCTCTCCCTCTGGAGCAGGACTCCCCAGTGAACAAACTGCTCTACGCCCGGGAGATCCCTCGCTACAAGCAGATGGTGGAGAGGTAGGTGTCAGGGTGTCACGGACGAGGGACTGGGGGCTGCCCAACCGTAACTGGATCCACTCCTCCAGATACTACTCCGACATTCGCCAGAGCTCTCCAGCGAGTTACCAGGAGATGAACTCGACTCTGGCGGAGCTCTCCGGGGTGAGGCACAGCCCATAGGTCACACCCTTCCACGCTGGGGGAGGAGAGCGGAGGAGGGCGGCTGGGGGCTGGAGGGCCAAGGTGGGGCCTCACCCGCCCGTGTGCTGCCCCTAGAATTACACCTCCGCTCCCCACTGTCTGGAAGCTCTGCAAGAACTCTACAGCCACATCCACAGGTACTATGACCAGGTGAGGCCCAGGGAACTCCAGTAGGGAGTGTCGCACCTCTGGAGCCCAGAGGGAGGTCCCAGGAAGCTCCCTGGGGGTGGGAGGAAGTGTCCAGGCCCAATCTGGGCAAAGAAGAAGAGCCCAGGTTGGGGAAGGGTCTTGGCTTCCGCCTAGATTCCTCTGGGAGGCCTCGGGCCACCCCTGTTGCCCGCCCCCCTCCCCAGCCTGCTACTGAAATGGAAACAGGGCAGGTGTCCCTGGGCCGGTGGGCAGAAGGCTGGGGCCTCAGGCGGGGCGGCCTCCTCTGCCCTGCAGGTCATCAGTGCCCTGGAGGAGGACCCTATGGGCCAGAAGATGCAGCTGGCTTGCCGCCTGCAGCAGATTGCCGCCCTGGTGGAGAACAAGGTGACTGACTTGTGAGCTCAGGGAGCAGCAGGCCCCGCCTTCACAATGCCTTCCCTCCAGCGACCCAGGAGGAGCCATGGATGGAGCCAGCGACCCAGGAGTGGCTGGCAGGGAGTGGGACGGGCTCCCTGTCGCCTCTCCCACCGCCCATCCTTCCTTCCTTCCCCCCGCCTCCACCCTGCCTGGCTTCTTTCTAATTTATAGCCACCCATCCTTCTCGCTTTCCACTCCCCGACTGTATTTATGTCCTTGCTGGAGAATCATATCTGGAAATAAAATACAAATATGTCTTTTTAGAAGAAGCCTGATCCCCAGCCCCACGTTCCCCCATGAGTCCACTCCATGCCCGTTGGCCCTCCCCTTGGCCCCGTGCCTACGACTGCTGCTACCTGTGAAAAAGAGGTGTCATCAGGCACGTCCAGGAAAGCTGCCTGGCCCTCCTGCCCCCATCTGTGTCCAACCCACCCTCCCAGTTCTTTCCTTGGCACAGGGGCGTAGGATCAAGCGTACCCCATCACGGGGTAACCACAGTCACTGCTAAGCTCCCTCTGCTTCATTCTGACTCCCTGGCGGTCCCCAGCTGGCCTCCTGGCTCCACTGTTATCTCTTCCATTCCCTTGGGAGCCAAGTGCCCATCAGTCTCTGCCAGAACCCCACACTGGTGTGCAGGCTCCAGGGTCTCCCTTCTTCTTCCCACCCACAGCCACTCTTAAGCCAAGGCCAACCTCGGAGGTCTCCAGCCCACCCCCTTTCTGGGGACCCGATGCTTCTCCCCAGTCCCTTGGATGCAGCCCCAAGGTCACAGGCTCTGGAGGGCTATGCCTGTCCTGGACGTCCCTCTGTCACCAGCCCCCTAGAGCTATGGGCTTGTTTCCTTCCCACTTAAGGAGGACCCCTGAGGTCAGGGCCAGCGTGGACAGCTTCCTCCGCCTCCCTGGCAGACACGCAGCACACGTTGGTGGAGACAGTGAGCCAGGCAGGGATAATGGGCCGGGGTAGAGCCAGGGCTGGGCCCAGGAAGCCAGGAGTACTGGGTACTGGGTTGGGGGCTCGCAGGCTCATGCCCAGGCCCGACACCTCTGCTGGGAAGAACGAGCTGCCTTCAGCTCATGCCATTACCTTTGCCGGGCCGGGACCCCCAGAGACACCACACTGAGGGATAGAAGGACACCAGGCTCCCGCCTGACTTAGGGTTCAAGGAGCCCCTGGAAAAGCGGGAACTGGCTGAGTGGGCAGGGAATGAGGTACCCATGGGAATGGGGGGGTCGCGTCTGAGAGGGCTCCCCAGAAGCCAGAGAACTTCCCAAAGTGTTGCTGGTGGCCTAGGTTGCATGAGAGGGGTTGGGGGCTCGGCCTGAGGACTGGATTGCCGTGTCCATGGACCAGATCGTCATGTGGGATCCCCCTCGGTCCTGGGGTGCAGGGAAGCTGTGTGGAGGCTGGGTCAGGCTGCGTCCCCACAGTGGTGCCCTCCGCCAGCCCTGGGCGGGGGGCGAGGGGGCTCGCCCTGGGCCGGACTCTACCGGGGCTGCTGTCGCTGCACGCCCCTCCCCGTTGCATACCTTGCCCACAGCCGAGCAGCTGGGAGGCTATTTATAAAGGCGGGTGAGATCAGCGGCCGGCAGAGGCTATAAATGCGCGGGCCGCGGCCGGGCCCCACAGGAGCAGCCGCCCGGGGCGCCGGAGCTGTGGGCCGCGCAGTGGGGATGAGCGCCAGCAGGGGCGGTGGCGGCGGGGACAGCGGCAGCAGCAGCAGCAGGTAGGGCTTGGCCCAGAGGCCCGGGGCCCCTGGCACCTCGCACGCTTACCGCCCGCCTACCCCACCCTCAGCTCACAGGCCTCCTGCGGGCCCGAGTCCTCAGGCTCCGAACTTGCCCCCCCGCGCCAGCACCACGGATGCTGCAGGCGCTGCTGGGCTCCGATGATGAGGAGCAGGAGGACCCCAAGGACTACTGCAAGGGTGAGGCCTGGCCTTGGTGCAGCCCAGTAGGAGGAGGGTGCCAGAGCCAGCCCACGTGGGCCAGGGCACAGCAGGCCTGGGCTGCCCCGGGGCACGGGGGAAGGCGACGTCCCCACTGTGCTCCAGCAGCTCCCTTCCCCAGGCGGCTACTATCCTGTGAAGATCGGTGACCTGTTCAATGGGCGGTACCACGTGGTGCGCAAGCTGGGCTGGGGACACTTCTCCACCGTCTGGCTCTGCTGGGACATCCAGTGAGCGCCCCCTCTGCCCCCTGGGGCCCAATGCCAGCTGGGCTCCTGCCCCTGGACGCAGTTGGGGCCACCACGATGGCCCCATGGGTCTGGCCGGCAGCGCCGGCCACTGACGTTGGTCTTGGTGTTGCAGGCGCAAGCGCTTCGTGGCCCTGAAAGTGGTGAAGAGCGCAGGGCATTACACGGAGACAGCTGTGGATGAGATCAAGCTCCTGAAATGTGTGAGGCGCCTCCCCTGCCGGCTCCCAGCTCCCCAGGAGCTGCCCAGGGCCTGGCAATGTGGGTGCAAGGCCTGCCGGGGCTCCGCAGGGCGGGGCAGGGCTCCCAGAGGGGCAGGCTCCAGCTGGCTCTGCCTGTGTGGGAGGACCTGGAGGAGCGGGCGAGGGAGGGGCAGGCAGCCTCTTACAGGGCCCAGCAGGAGCAGGAGAGGGGACCAGAGGTGCAGGGGGCGCCGCTGGGGGGTGGGAGCCGGGGGGGGCAGGATGGAACCATCTGTGGCCCCTTGGCTTTTGCCCCAGGTCCGAGACAGTGACCCCAGTGACCCCAAAAGAGAAACCATTGTCCAGCTCATCGATGACTTCAGGATCTCAGGGGTTAATGGAGTCCGTATCCTTTGCAGGCTGATTAAAGCGGTGCGACAGTGGCAGCTGCCCGCCCCGCAGCCCTGGAGTTTGCTATCTGCAGGATGGGGATGGGGCTCGTCCCTGTCAGTGACACTACTCCGTGAACTACCCCCACCAGTTTGAGGATTTGTGTTATGTGTGGGGGACAGTGGATATCCATGGATGTGGCTGGGGTACCCCCAAGTAGCAGGGGCTGCCTTTGTGCCAGTGCCTTCCGTTTGGGGGGCTGTCCACAGGCTCTTTGGCAGCCCTGGACTGGGGCCGCCCTGAGGGCTGTGTCTACTCCTCCAGTGCCCTCTCCCAAAGATGACCACAGAGCATACCCTCCCAACTGGCACAGCTGAAGGTGACAGAACACTCTAATGACACGGGGATAGTGGTTATCACCAGGACTGTCCAGTCCCAGCTCTGCACTCGAGCCTCATTGCACCCCCAGCCCAGCTGAGGGTGGGCAGGGCCTCTGCTCCAGCTGTGTGCCGCCTGGTTGCCCTTCACTCCTGGCCCCAGATGTATGCATGGTCCTGGAGGTCCTGGGCCACCAGCTCCTCAAGTGGATCATTAAGTCCAACTACCAGGGCCTGCCTGTGCCCTGTGTGAAGAGCATCGTGAGGCAGGTGAGCATCACCCATCCTGCATGAAGAGGATGGTGTGGCAGCCAGGGCTGGGCTGGTAGAGCTGAGTGGCTCTCCCCAGGTACTGCACGGCCTGGATTACCTCCACACCAAGTGCAAGATCATCCACACGGACATCAAGCCCGAGAACATCCTGCTGTGTGTGGGTGATGCCTACATCAGGCGCCTGGCCGCTGAGGCCACGGAGTGGCAGCAGTCAGGGGCACCGCCCCCATCCCGCTCCACAGGTACCGAGAGCCCAAGCGGGACCAGGGTGGGCCTATGGGCCTGAGCCCCAGCCTGAGTCTCTCCTCCTTTCTCTTGCCACCTAGTCAGCACTGCTCCCCCAGAGATCATGGTAAGTTGGGGCAGCCCTCCCTTCCTAGGCCTCATCTTCCCATCTCCTCGAAGCTCACTTCCTCAGCCTCTCCGGTTCCACCCCTCCCTACATTCCCACAGTGGCAACTGCAAAAAGGCTGGGTGGCCCAGATGTGGGGGATACACAGGGTGGGTCACATGCCCCAAACTGCCCTGGGGAGCTGCTGGACTCGCCACTGCCTCAGTGGAAGGACACAGTGTCGAAGGCCAGGAGGGGACAGAGCTGCCCCCAGGGGAGGCAGGCAACCAGTCACGGGCAGGCCCGTTGGTTCCTCCCCAACCTTGAGCTCTGGGGAGCGGAGGGCAGGAGGGGACAAGAGGCAGGGGAGGGTGAGTGTCAGGAGGTAGGCTGGAGGGGGGTGGTGCCATGTTCTGGTGTCCCTGGAGCCATGGGGCCCGCAGGCCTCGTCCCCTGTGGGGGCGTGTGGGCCACGGGCAGAGGCTCAGCTGGTCAGGGAACCCATGACGGGAACCCCGAGTAACCCGGGCTCTAACGGCAGACCGGTAAGCTGTCAAAAAACAAGAGGAAGAAGATGAGGCGCAAACGGAAACAGCAGAAGCGGCTGCTGGAGGAGCGGCTACGGGACCTGCAGAGGCTGGAGGCCATGGAAGCAGCGGCCCAGGCAGAGGGTGAGGGGCCAGAGCGGGTGCGGGGATCCCTGGCGAGCATGTTGCAGGGCGTTGCTCACACACCCCCTCCACCCGTATCCCCAGACTGTGGCTCGAGACTGGAGGGGGGCAGCGGCTCCACCTCTTCTTCTGGCTGCCACCCCGGGGGTGCCCAGGCCGGCCCCTCCCCGGCCTCCTCCTCCCCTGCCCCAGGGGGCAACCGCAGCCTCAGCCCCGGCTCCCAGACCTCAGGCTTCTCGGGCTCCCTCTTCTCTCCCGCCTCGTGCTCCATCCTCTCAGGCTCCTCCAACCAGCGGGAGACTGGGGGAATCCTGTCACCCAGCAGTAAGTTGGGCGGGGCCAGGGGGTGGCAGGTGGACAGGGCTGGGAGGGGCCGGGCCAGCTCAGAATCTCTCCCTTCTCTTGCTTCCCCAGCACCATTTGGTGCCTCGAACCTCCTGGTGAACCCCCTAGAGCCCCAAAATGCAGACAAGATCAAGATCAAGATCGCAGATCTGGGCAACGCCTGTTGGGTGGTATGAGCGGGCGCCCTGCTACGAAAGAGTCACAGGCCTGTTCCCGGGGCTCACCGAGCAATCGCCCGGCCAGACTTCTGTCTGCCTCATGCCGTGGTCCCGGGACTGAGCCCAAACTAGCACTGGTCACACCCGGTCAGCAAAACTGGGCCCACAGCAGGGGGTGGGGGGCCCCTTGGAAGGGGCCACCCTCAGCTTCGGGTCTCCTGGCCAGGCCCTGGCAGGACATCTGGGGACCCTGAGGCTCAGAGCAAGCCCCAGTGAGCTCCTTAGGTGCACAGCCCAGAGGAGTTGGGAGACGAGTGGGGGCATCGAGGGCAGGCCAGCATGGCCCCAGCTCCTCCCCCAGGGCTCCCCTTGCTTCCAGCACAAGCATTTCACCGAGGACATCCAGACGCGGCAGTACCGGGCCGTGGAGGTGCTGATTGGTGCCGAGTATGGACCCCCAGCCGACATCTGGAGCACAGCATGCATGGTAGGCCTCGGCCACCCCTGCCCAGGGCTGGCCCACCAGCCAGCAATCTCACCTTCTCCCTCTTCCAGGCCTTTGAGCTGGCCACCGGTGACTACCTGTTCGAGCCGCACTCCGGAGAAAACTACAGTCGTGATGAGGGTAGGGGGAGGCAGGCCCTGGGCTCAGCCTTGGGGCCTCCCGGCTGCCAAGCTAGCCCCCAGCCACCTCTCTGTCCACAGACCACATCGCCCACATCGTGGAGCTTCTGGGAGACATCCCCCCAGCCTTTGCCCTCTCAGGCCGTTACTCCCGAGAGTTCTTCAACCGGAGAGGTGGGGCCAGGCAGGCTCAGGCCACGTGGATGTAGGGGGTGGGGTGGGGACCCGGGCTCTGAAACAGTGGGAGAGATGGGTCCCAGACCAGAGGCCCCCTCCTTGGTGGAACCTAACCCGAGGCCCCTGGCCCACCCCTAGGAGAGCTGCGGCACATCCACAACCTCAAGCATTGGGGCCTGTATGAAGTGCTCATGGAGAAGTACGAGTGGCCCCTGGAGCAGGCCACGCAGTTCAGCGCATTCCTGCTGCCCATGATGGAGTACATCCCCGAAAAGCGGGCCAGCGCGGCTGACTGCCTCCAGCACCCTTGGCTCCAGCATCCGTAGGCCCCACTGGCGCTCTGGGCAGCTTGGGGTGGGCCCGGCTGCCCCCACCCCCCACCCCCAGTGCCTTGAGGGAAAGCAGGACAGTTCCTGCCACCCTGCGCGAGCTGCCCTCTCCCTACCCTGGTCAGCAGGGCAGACAGATGCTGGGGCCAGGCCCACATTTCAAAATCTGTTCTGCCCTCAATCCTTACAGAGGGCACTCTGAATAAGAAGTGTGCTGTTTCTTTTCTTAATAAAGTGTGACCTGAAACACCAGCGTCCTGGAGTGACAGAAACATATGGCCAAGAACTGGGGCAGAAGCTGGTTTATTCTGGGTCTACCCACTCAGTAGGGTGCTGGGGGAGCGAAGGGGATCTGGAGAGGGGGTGGACACAGTGCCAGAGACAGCCTAGGCCTCCACGGCCCGGCCGTTGATGATGCGGATGTGACGGATGATGTCCTGGATGGCTTCCGATGTGGTGCCCTGGCCCCCGATGTCCGGGGTGTGCATCTGTGGGAGGTAGGCAAGCTCGGTCACACAGCAGGGTTCCACCAATACCTGAGCCCTGCCTGGCAGGCGGCCCAGGGCTGGCCACTGTCTCCACTGGCTTACAGGGCCTGAAAGCGCCATGAGGACAGCGGTCCCAGCTAAGGCCCTGAAGCCCTCCCTTACTTGGTACCACCCTCCCCTTGGGGGCAGCAGGAAGTGCCAGGTCACCACTTCCAGAACCTCAGATGTCCTATCAGCTCAACCTGAGCTGGGGGCGGGGAGGAGGTTGCTGGGGAGGAGGCAGGTGAGGGGAGAAGAGCCTCACATTTTCATTGTCCATGGATGCCAAGACAGCCTTGCGGATGGAGGTGGCGTAGGAGTGTAGCCTAAGGAGGAAGATCAGACTTCAGGCCTCCGGGCCGCGAGGCTGGCCAGCGGCAGACAGCCCGCATCAAGAAGCTACTTACTTGAGGTGGTCAAGCATCATGCAACTTGCCAGCAACGTTGCTGTGGGGTTGGCGATGTTCTTATTGGCGATACTCTTGCCTGTGTTCCTTGTAGCCTGGAAGAGGCAAGATGGGAGAAGGGGGGTGGTGAATATAAGAATGTTGAGTGCAGACTACATTCATGTAGAAAGCCCAGAACAGGCAAATCCACAGAGACAGAGGGTGGGTGAGTTCCGTGCCGGGGCCAGGGAAGGAGGGCAGCAGGAGACTGACGGCTAACGAGGACAAGATTTCTCTTTGGAGAGATGAAAATGTTTGAGAATTAGTTGTGATGGCTGCACAACTCTGTATTATTCTAAAAACCACTAAATCATCCACTTTCAGCGGATGACACTGGATGCTATGTGAGCTACAGTTTACAATTCAAAGAGGCCAGCGGCCCTGGCGCCGCTAGCAGCACTCACCGTCTCGAATACAGCATACACGTGGCCATAGTTGGCCCCGGCCACGAGGCCAGGGCCTCCGACCAGCCCTGCACAGACGTTGTTGACGATGTTGCCGTAGAGATTGGGCATCACCATGACATCAAACTGCTGGGGCCGAGACACCAGCTGTGGGGCAAGAAGGGGCCAGACAGGAGCTTGAGCACAAGAAGCCCCAGGAGCCAGGGGCAGGGGGCCGCGTGGCGTGGCAGGCTAACTACCTGCATGGTGGTGTTGTCCACAATCATATTCTCAAAGGTGATCTGGGGGTAGCCAGCTGCCACCTCCTTGCAGCACTGGAGGAAGAGCCCATCGCCCAGCTTCCTAGTGGGGGACCCAGGACACCACTTTGGCCACTGCAACCATCAGCCGGAGGGATGGGGTGTGCAGACAGCCACAGGAGGCTGGGTTCTAATCTATAACCAGTCCCATCTGCAGAATGGGCACAATCCCACCCCACCTCCGCAAAGTGTGCATGGCAGTGAGGCCACAGCTGGGGAGTGGGCAATAGGCGCACCCCTGAGCCTGGCCCCTTGGTGGGTAGCTGGAGTCCTGGGCACAAGTCCCTGAAAGCAGTCCCAGCTAGGCTGCTCAATCCAGCTGCCTCAGGGCTGCTTGCAGAATGGGTGGGGTGGGGTGGGGCAGGAGGCATACATGATGTTGGCCTTGTGTACAGCTGTCACTTTCTTTCGCCCAGTTTCCTGGGCCAGTTTGAAGGCATACTCCGCAATGCGCAGGGACTTGGCCTTGGTGATGATCTTAAGGCTCTCCACCACTCCAGCCACACTCTGAGAAGGGGACAACAGAGAAGAGACCTATACCCTGTCCAAGCCTGCCCTCTAACACAAGCTTCCCTCGGGCACAGCCTTTACATCCCCGCCCCATGACCCACCTCATGCTCCAGGCTGCTGTACTCGCCCTCTGTGTTTTCCCGGACAATGAGGATGTCTATGTCCCTGTGCCGGGTCACCACTCCCGGCAGGCTCTTACAGTGGATGACGTTGGCGTACAGGTCCAGGCTGGTGCTGGGGGCACAGAGAGAAACAGCCAGTCAGTGCCAGGACTCTCTGCGGGCAACCCCCACCAGGCCATCACCCCGGGCACTTGGCTCTCACCGAAGGATGTTATTTCGGGATTTGTGGGATGGCGGCAGGTTGTGGTTTGTTTCAATATTACCTGCAGGACAGAAGCAAGGCAGGCAGGCTGGAAAGAGGGCCCCTGGCTCAGCCGTAGCACCTCAGTCCCCTTTCTGACCCAGGGAACATGTGCCGAAGGCGGCTTCAACAGCAGAGGAAGGCAGCTTCGGGTAGCAGAAATACTCCGTAGGACACTCTAGTATAACTTCCAGTGTAAGTTCCATGAGGGCAAAGGGGGCTGTGTGCATGCATGTGGTTCGCTGATGGGTTCCAAGGATCGAAAAGAGCCCCTGGCACATAGCAGGCACTCAGTCAATACGTAATGAATGAAAGAACAAATGAATGAATGAACAAGGATTGGCAGGCAGCCAGAAGCTCTTGCTAGACCCTGGGCAGGGAATGGCAAGGCCAGGGTGTGGCTGGATAGAAAGTCCACTCTTGCTTACTAACAGGATGATGGCTAGGCTGGCACCAGCAAGGTGACCTTGGCCAGGGTTAGCGCCAGGCCCTGTATCAAGGCACCACGAGAGCTCAGGGGCAGGTGGAGGTCGCCCGAAAAAGACCACCGTTTGGCCTTGGCTGGAACCAAGAGCAAGAGCAGCAGGGGGCTAGCAGCCACTGAGAGAAGGTGGTAAGGGTGCCAGGCAGAGGAGGCCTTTCTCAGGGACCCCGGGGCCACCAGCCCCTCCAAGTTACGCCCTGCCTGGGCTGACTTCACCCAGAGCGCCTTGGGCACCCTGTGGTTGGCATGTCAGCCCCTCCACTGGACTGCCAGTGCCGGGGGCTCTACCGGGGTTCATCTTTCCTCACTCACTCCTCACACAGAGCAAGTGATGGGCTAAAGCCTGCTGAACGAGTGATGGAAACAGTTTAAGAACTTGGATCAAATCAAGGAAAACCCAGAGAAGGGTAGAATTCCGGTCTGTAGCATCCACAGCTGTGCCAGCTGGAGCCAAGGCAGCAGGCAGAGGGTGGGAACTGCAACTCTGTGACATTTGTATGTGCAAACTCTGGCAGGTCAAACCTGACTTCAGCAAGGGGAGAGAGTATACAGTCAGCGGTAGAGTGCCTGCTTGGATGCACAAGGTCCTGGGTTCAATCCTCAGTACCTCCATTAAAAAAAAAATACATAAACCTAATTACCTCCCCCCCGCCGAAAAGAAACACAAACATCCACACAGACACAACCTGACTTCAGCAGAGGGGGCTGCCCCAGGAGGGAAGAAGGGCAGCCCGTCACCGGACCCGCTCCTGCAGAGCCAAGTGCCCCCGAGATCTCAGAATCACAGCACAACAGGGTCCCAGGGACAAGTGTCAGCTCAGAGGTGAAAGGAATCGCACATGATGCCCCTCCTGGCCCCCGCGCTCACCCTTCAGGGCCACGCGGTTCCGACGGATGGCCATGATAGCGTTACGGATGTCCTCTTCGTCAGCAGTGGAGCTCACGTGCACCTCTTCAAAGTCCACAGGCACACATGCATGCCTGCGGCAGAGCAGGGTCAGGACGGCGGCCCCAGGCCCCCTCCAGGAAGCCTGCCTGGACCACTGGGCACAGAGGTCTCTTCCTTGCTGCTGCCCACCTTGACCCGGCTCTGGCTGAGAGGGGACTGCACCCACCTGCACCAACTGATGGGGATGCATTTACACCCCTCGACACCGTTAGCAGGCCTGGTTCCACCTTGCCCATGCCCAGGCCAGCCTGGCAGGATCGCAGGCACCAGGACGAAAGGCCTGGGCTTGCAGCCCTCCTGCCATTGGCTTACTGCCCATCTTGGCACAAAGTTCTCCAGGCCCCTCCTGGGCCTGGGGCCCCGTACCTGAACACAGATTTGACATGCAGCATGAGCTCCGGCCCGATGCCGTCCCCAGGGATCATGGTCACTGTGTGCCGTCCACCATACTTAGCCGACGGAGGCTAGAGACGGGGAGGATAGGCCTTCAGCTCCCTTCCTCCCACCAGCACTGACCCGAGGGGCTGGCCAATCGTGAGGCGCCAGCTAGGGGTCCCTCACCCCTGCGCCCCACCCCACCCATCCCAGACAGGGCTGCTCGCAGGGGCTCCTCAGACAGGAGGACAGCAGCAGAAGCAGTCCCCTCCCCCACCTGGACCTGGGTCAACCCCAAAGCAACTAAAAGCCCCAAACCTAACAGGCAGATGAGAAGAATACTCACAATTGTTTGTTGCTAGAGTGGGGACAGGAAGGAAAAAGACACAGATCAGCCAAAGTCGGAGGAACAAGGGTGTGCCAGGGGAATGGGGCCTTTCCCCTGGGGACGCTGTCTAGCACAGTTCAGGTAAGGAGGGGTGGGCGAGCTCTGGAGACTGCACCTCAAAGGGGAAGACACAGAAGGGCCAGAAGCAGAGAGACATGGCACACACAAGCATGCACACGCACGTATACAACTCTGCACACACACATGCACGTAAACACACACACAAGCACCTGTACAGAAACACACAGACAGGCGCAAACGTGCGTAAACAAAAACATCCGTACATGCAAGCACACACACACACACACACACATGCACACACACACCCCAGCAAGTACTTACTGAGAAGCTTCTCCCGGGGGCCTCGTGGGCACCTAGAACCTGGCAAAGAGAACCCAGATGCCCAGGGTTGTCATCCAACCCAGAAACTCAACCTGGCAAGGGCCTGCTGAGCTCTTGGCGGGGCAGAGAAGCACCCTCACCGCGCCCGGACAGGCCCTGCGCACCACGCCCTCCACCTCCCCCAGGCACCACTGGCCAGCAAGCCACACCACACAGCAGGTGCCCGGTCGGCTCCAGAGCCGCCACTTCCCAAAGACCACCTGTTGCAGCGCCACAGAGGGCCGTAACAACCCTTTATGCCTCCTTCAGGTCCGCGCTCAGTTTTTCTTAAAAATGCTTACATCTCCCTTCCCTCCTTTCATTGTTTCTGGTCTTTTTTAGCCAATTATTCCTGCTCAGTGATGTCTGTGATTTGGAAAAGTTGGCACACTAAACACGGTACAATAGGGAAATCATTATAACCAACCACAGGACAACTATGATGGTCATTTAATCATTTTTTTATCACGTGTCCTTATTACAAAAGCACCATATGGTCAAAACATGGAGAAAACCCAGAATGTGGAGATCAGAAGGAAGACAGCATCCAGCCCCTGCCCACCCAGAGACGAGCGCCGCTGGGGAACGGCCCTCTAGAGTCCGAAATCGCAAGTCCAACCATTTTTAGAAGTAGAGCAGACACCATCTTTTGTAAAGCCCTGCAAAACCGCTTCGGGGCCTGTGTGGGTGACAAATGTCCTCAACCCTCTACTCGAAACAGCCACGTTTGGTCACATTGCTGCTGTGCCTGACTCTAAAGGCAGAGTCACTGTGGCCATTTTCCAAAGAGCTGTGCCTTCCTGCTATAAGTCTAGAAAGCTCAGGCAGAGGCTGACTACCTCAGCTGGCTCTCCCTGGCTGGTTCACAAGGGACCCGCCTGCACAGAGCTCAGGCAGCACAGGGGCTAGGAAGGGGCTGGTTGACAGGGCAAGAGGCCCCAGGGGTTTCTGCTGATTCAGGGGGCCCCTGGATCTGCAGCCAGAGGCACACATGGGGCTTTTCTGTTTTCCTTCTAGCAATTCTCAGTATCTGGACTCACTTTATTTGTATTGAGAGTAGGCTCTCAAACTTGTGGAAGGTGGCTTAGACTGCCCCTCCTCCAGGAAGTCTTCCCTGATGCCCTAAGGCTGCCAAGCTATTGGTCCCCTGGACTCCCAAAAGCCTACTCACTCCCTCCCTGCCAACCAGTCTCTCTAGGTTGACACTGCCTTGCTCCCTCTCCAATCCCTAAGCCCCCGAGAGTGGATACCATGTTTGTTTGATTCCCTACTGTCATCCCAAGACCCACAGAATGCCTGGCCCAGAGCCAGGACACAAAAATCATTTCCAGCATGAATGAGCACACTGGAAAACGAAGGAAGATACGGTGTGCTTCAAGGCTAAGGAAACCTAGGTCCAAATCCACCGTTCACTACTCTTGGTGGCAAACAGCTTAACCATGCTGAGCTTCCCACCCTGACCTGAAATCCACAGAATAGAGGTGCCTACTTTACCTGACTGCTGGAAAGATTAAGCGAGATGGGGTATGTGAGCTGTTCAGTCCCCAACAAGGCACAGGGGCTGTGCGAAACCACACTCACTCCTTGACCCAACCAGCCCCTCAGACCAGTGTTCAAGGCTCATGTCCAATGAGAGGATGTTGGGCCAACCCCTGTGGCTCCCAGCAGTAATTCCTCCCAGGTTACAGCCCTCTGGAGTCCACCGGCACTAGGCAGGTAACTTGGCCTTGGTATGAGCCAGCACTAGCACCAGGCCTGGCTCTGCATCTGTACAACTAACCCCAACCAGATCTTGCATCCCATCACTACCACCAGGGCTGAACCTCTCCCTCAGCTGGTCCCAATGCTAGATGTTCCTTCCAGCTTTGGACCCACAGAGCTCTCAGGATAGCGACTCCCCTGGCCTTGCTATGGACAGATGCAGGCACCTTCCATTAGGAGGTTCCAAAGGTTCTGTAAAGCTAACCATTAAGAGCCCAGCATGAGGCAGAAGGGAATATATGCATTGGTCTCCTGCTTGTTCACCTAGCAGGAGAGTAGACTGTTGGCCCTCATCCTTAGATAGTGTCACGGAAAGAAAGGAGTCCAGCAGGAGGGTATGTGTTCCAGGCAAAGGGCTGCCATACTACACGTCTTAGTGAGGCTTCACTCTTCAGCATGTTTCTGTTGGATCAAGTGCTCATGGTGGCTTCCTGTTTCCACACAAGGTCCCAATTAATGGGACCAAAGATCTGGGCTCTGTCTCTAAAGGTTCCCCTACCCAGGACAACCAGTCTTAGGGCAAGGCACCGACCAGATAGCAACTGCCCACAATCCCCGCCCCAATATGGACACAAGTACACACACAGGGAAGGTCAGAGTTGGCTAACTCCTTTGAGACAGAAACTGTAGCCCAAAGAGAAGGAGACTGCCTTAAGGTCACACAGTGGGTCGGTGGGGGCGCCAGGCCTGGAGGTACCTTTCGTCCCTCAGGGCCAGTCCTGACTTGCTGATGGTTCAGATGGCGTCCAACCCACCCAGGGACTAAATTAGCCTCATTTACTGTGTAAAGAGAGAGAAATCAGATCTGAATAACCAAGATCCTAAACGGAGAACGACAGAAGCAAAACCCTCTCGGCCTCCCCAACTCGCCAGCTTCAGGAACCCTAGCTCCTTCCCATTCCAGGCACCTGCTGGGCGGAGGGGGAGGTAAGCATCTGGGGTACCGGCGAAGTCCGACTCTCCACCTCCACTGGAATAGGTGGCAAAGTGGTCCACGAAAGGGAAAGCAGAGGTGGAAGGGCGAGGGGGGAACAGATTCCCCAGAGGGCAAGAGCAAGGCGGGCCGGGACACGTGACAGCCTCGGGAGGGCTCCCACAAGGACACGGAAGGTGAAACTTGGCCCGCTGTGGCCCACTGTCCTCGCTTGTCAGGAGCTCTTCTGCCACAAGATGTAGACCCCTGGGAAAGCCGGACCAGAGTCAGCTTTGGCTAACCTCTTCACTGACAGCGCAGGTGGCCAATCAACCCCGGCCGCAGCACTCTCCCCTCCCCTCTAGGGGCCCGCAACCAATCGGGCCCCAGGACGCTCCGAGAGCGGCGTCCTCCGGCCTGGCCCCGCCGAAATACGAGCACCCGTCGGCGAGCACCCCAGCTTCCTCAGGGCCCGTTCCCCTTTCTCACCTCCCAAGGACGGCAGAGGAGGGCTGGCCTGAGCACTGCCTTCGCAGCGCCACCTGCGGCCGTCGCCACCTTCAGCGCCATGACGGAAAGTGAGAAGCGCTGCACGTCCCGCCGCGCAGACACTGCTCTCGCGAGAGTTCGGCAGGGCACCAAGTACCGGGAGAGGGTGGGGGCCCGGCAGTGCGCACGCACGCGCCCGCGCCGGTTCCCACGCCCTCTTCCGGCGCCGAGAGCGCCGCCGCCGCCGCCGCCGCCATCTTGGGAGGGGGCGGCCAGCTGGGCCCCCGGTCTGGGGAGGGGACACGTCAGTGCTGCAAGTGACGTCACAGGCCCGCCCGGCCCGCCGGCTCCCGATTGGCTGCTGCGGCCGCTTACGCGTCGCGCTTCCTTGTCTGTTCCTCGTGTTCTGGGGAGTCGCTCTCTTTTTCTCTCGGCAGAGAAGAGGCGATGGCTGCGCTGGCATCTCTCGGCGCCCTGGCGCTACTCCTGCTGTCCGGCCTCTCCTGCTGCTCAGGTAGCGGCCTGGCCAGAGCTCGTTTCTGGCGAGCCTTTCTCCCACGACTGGTGGTGCGTGGGCGGGAGGAGGGGTGCGGGCGAAGCGGGGGTGTGGGCCTTCTTTCTCCGAGAGGCAGGTGGTCTCTGGTCGCGGCGGCGAAGGCCACCACGCGCTCCTGCACCACACACCTTTACCCAGCAGCCAGATCTTTCCCACGCCTGCTCCTGCGAGGAAGAGTCCCAGAGCCTCTCCAGTGCGCCTGGCCCCAGCTGCAGCAGGGAAAGTGACACACGTCCCTGCTCCCTCTCTCAGAGCTCCCGGTCCCAGAGCGGGGTCGGGCAGGAGAAAAGCTCTGCAGCACAGGCCGATTGGGGCGAGAAACTGGGCTGCTGGAGAGGAACCACCTGACCTGGTGCGGTGGGACCAGGCCTCTTCAGGAAGGGAGCTCTGAGTGAAGAGAGGGAGTAGGGACGGTCCAGGCAGAGGGGCCCAGAGTGTGGGCGCGTTAGAAAGGAACTGAAGAGGGAAAGATTAGTGGGCCTAGAGTGCCAGGCCAGACTGTTGATCTTTACCCTGAGGTCTTGCCGTGTTCTTATAGGGCTCTTCAGCAGAGCCGAGGCAGTCAGGTGGACTCACTTTTCTGAGAGACCGTTAACACTTAGTGGCAGGGTTGGGCTCACACTGGAGTCCACAAGTTTGCTTAGGAGTCCTTGCAGGAGCCAGCGCCAGGTCTGGGGGCCTGGACTGGGTCAGGGGCACTTTCTGCACATTCATTTTATTTGCCCTACTTCAGGCAAGCACCCTTGGTTCCTGCAGTGTTTCACCAGCCTAACTGGCCTCCCTGCCTGCACCCTTCTCACCAGCAACTTAGGAACTCCCAGTGCTGTAGCCAGTGATGTCTGGAAAGGGCAAACCTGACTGTAAAACTTTTCAGTGCTCCACTGTGTCCCTAGAAAAAAAGTCAAGCTTTAGCAGAGCCTGGAAGGGTCTGTGAGATGTGACTCCTGAGACCCACCTCCCACCCATGTCCCCAGGCTAATTCCTCCCACTGTCCAGACCCTGAGCCTTCTCTAACTGCCTCAGCCTAGGTCTTGGCCCCACCCGGACACCACATTCAGTGAGCAGGTGGCACCTTGTGAATTAGGTGGTGCTTTTCCTTCCTTGTAGTGTCTAGCAGCATGGAGCTGGCCCAGGTGACTTCCTTTCTCTCAGGGCAGCCCTGTTCAAAGGGACAAGTTGTGCTTCTGTATCCAGAATCGCTCCCATTTTCTCCTCTCGGGAAATGCTGAGTCTGGTCCTGGCCTTCTGTCAACTGTGTCTTGGGGCAGAGACCCGTTCCTTCATCTCTTGCAGCTCTGTGCTTTGTATCTGCGGGGGATGCCTTCAGTAAACTGTTCAGGGCCATGCGTGACTCTGAATTGAGGTCAGCCTGACCCCCTGGGCTTCTGGGGTGCTCCAGGCCAGGGCAGGCTGCAGCCCCAAAGCATTGCATGGCTTCCTTGTTTGTAGGTCCAGGCACAGACTAGAGCTGTGCGGTGAATCCATACAGCACTCCCCCTACCGCCCTGCCTGTGCATGCACACACACACGGGCACACACACCTGCACTTTCACACTTGCATTAAGGTTCCACCTGCACAGCTTTCTCATTCCCCCTCCCCCACCTTCCTTTGAGGCCACCCCACCCTCCTTTGCCATTGCGCTTCTGACTGGTCATTTGGATTTATCTCCCAGATGCCACCCGGCAGGGTCCAAAGGGCCCTTTGTATCCTCAGCTGATGAGGTCTGGGCGGTGGGGTCAAGGTGGTCCTTTCTGCCCCCACCCAGCCCAGTGCACACAAGCCGGGCCTTACCCAGGCGTCCTGCCTCCTCCCCACAGCAGAGGCCTGTGTGGAGCCCCAGATCACCCCTTCCTACTACACCACCTCGGACGCCGTCATTTCTACTGAGACTGTCTTCATCGTGGAAATCTCCCTGACATGCAAGAACAGGGTCCAGGTGAGGCAGTGGGGGTTCAGCCAGGAGGGTGCTGGGGCAGGACGTGGACAGTGAGTCTGGGACCTTGGGGGATCAGACCCAGGGACCTGTGTGGACAGAGGGAGAATAAGGGTTTCGGGTCTCAGATGTAGGAGAGATTGGGGCTCAGCAAGGCCAGATTCTAGCAGATGTTTAAGGAACATTCTGACCTCTCTGCTCTGCTTTGCCTACATGCAGCAATGTAGGTAGATCCCTTGCTGTGTCTTGAAAGAGCATGTGGTAAGGGAGAGACAGCCAGGGGTCAGGCCCCAGGCCCCGGCATCCCTTTTCTGGTTGCTCTTTGCCAAGGTGTGCGTCCACGTGGGTGTTTCGTAATTTCAAGACTGAGCAGACCTGGCCTCGGCCCCTGATCTTAACCTCTATCCTAAAGGCCCAAAGAAGGAAATTGGGCCTTTATAGGTACAACACTCCTTAGGTGGCTCATTGGGTACCCCCAGCCCCAGTGTCCCCTTCCAGGCTCAGAGAAGAAACGAACACACTTTGATCATCCCTCCCCTGTTCGCAGTTAACAGGCTCGCTGTGGGTTATGGAGGCTAGGCCATAGGGGAGGTGTGGCCACTACATAGGGAAGACAGAGGCAGAGAGACCATGACAGCATCCGTGGGTGTTGGCTTCCTTGTTTGGCTTTGGGTTGTGGCAGGCCTACCTCCGTGGTTCTTGTATGGTGTCTCCCACCAGACGTACCACAGTCCCCAGCTGTGCCCAGCTGGCCTCCTTACCCACAGGCAGTAGGTGCTGCTGTGGGCAGCACAGTGGGGCCTCTGCCGATGGCCAGAGAGGGGAAAAGGTGACTCCCTTTTTGTTCCCTCTGCCAGAGCATGGCTCTTTACGCTGACGTAAGTGGAAAACAGTTTCCTGTTACCCGGGGCCAAGACGTGGGGCGATACCAGGTAAGGGATGTTGTGGTCGTCATTTTGAGGGAAGGCTACCCACTCACAGCAGGGGCGGGCTTCTTGGACTCAATCTGCAGGTGGTGGCGCTATGTCTAGTGTGCCTACCCCTTTCCAACGCACCCAACCCAGGTGTCCTGGAGTCTAGACCACAAGAGTGCACACGCTGGCACGTACGAGGTGAGATTCTTCGACGAGGAGTCCTACAGCCTGCTGAGGAAGGTGAGGATCTGCGGAAGCAGCACCCCAGCCTGCAGAGGGGAGGGCGAGCCCACTTTCGCAGCTGTCTCCACCCTGCAGTCCCCTCTTCCTGGAGCGCTGGGCCCCTGGGGACCTTGCTGAGTGGAGGGGGATGGCGGGGGGATGCCTTCTCGTCTGCCGGCCCCCACCCCGTCCCTGTGCCGTCCGTGTTTCTCTCGCCCATTTCTCTTTTCCACAACTCTGGCCAGAGTTCCTGCCTCTCCTACCCTGCCCACCTCAGCCCACCCCACCCAGCATTGCCCCCTGACCCCAGCACCTCCCTCGCAGGCTCAGAGAAATAATGAGGACATTTCCGTCATCCCACCTCTGTTCACAGTCAGCGTGGACCATCGGGTGAGTGGGCTGAAGAGGCTGACCCCAGCACGGGAAAGCACAGAGCACCCAGCACACCTCGCCTTCTCGGGGAGCTGGGGGCTGGGCCATCGTTGGTCAGTGTGTCTTTGTGCCCCATAAGGAGGGTGACCAGGGTTGGCTGGCCCCCTCACCCGTCCCTCTCTTGAAGACTGACTTTTTGGGGTCTCTTTTCTTGCAGGGCACCTGGAACGGGCCCTGGGTCTCCACTGAGGTACTGGCTGCCGCCATCGGCCTTGTGATCTACTACTTGGCCTTCAGCGCCAAGAGCCACATCCAGGCCTGAGGACGGTGCCCCTGCCCCCCTTGCTTTTTTCAATAAACAGTTCTCGGCTGTCACTGGCACCAGGGACAGGGCTCCTCGCTTGTGCTGCCGTGAGTTCCACACGTGGACAGAGCTGGGCACCCAGCATCCCTCCTTCCACCTCGATGGCACAGGCACTGCGTGAGGATGGGGCTCCCTTCCCTCCATGTGTGCATTTGCTTCCCTCTCCTTTAGCTCTCCCTTCTCAACCCCTAGTGATGCCTTCAGGACCCAATACCCATTGCTCACCTTCTCTCAGGGTGGCCTGCGTGGTTTGGGCTGGGCCATGGGGCTGTCCCCCTCCCCCACCGTCTTCTGGCATACAGTGGTCTTGTTCTCCTGCCTTCACTCAGCCCACCTAAGCTGGCTTAGGGAAGGGCCCTCTGACCACTTGCCACTGGGGGGGCAGCTGCTCAGGGCAAGCCGGAGGGGAGCATCCCTGCCATCCAGACGTCAGCAGGACAATGAGACGCAGCCCCACCTGCCTTTCAGATTGGCTCCCGTGTTCAGAGTCCTGGGCACAAGCCATGCACTCAAGTACCTTCTGTGCTTTTCTTGGGAAGTGCTGTGGGCGCCGCTCTGTTGCAGATTGGACAAGCCAACACACCCAGTAGCTGTCTGGGGCGTGGTCATTCTAAGCCCTACACTCTGGCCGGTTGCCCACTCCCAGCATGCTCTCGCTTCTCGGCATCAGGTGGGGCGCAGAAAAGGGCACTAAAACGAGGACCCAGACCCCCAAGCCAGTTGCCAGCCCTTTCCTGTTGGCCTCATACCTTCTCTCCTGGTGATGCGTCTTCCCCCAGCACCTGATGTCCTTAGGACCCCAGGTGGGCATCCCCTCGCATGCTCCATGTCACCCTGCAGCCCTCCCACCAGCCCAGTTTCCATGAGACCACCACTCGCTAGACGGGTAGTAAGGGCCCTGGGATCCAAAGGGGCTGAGTGCAAATCCTAGGGGAGCCTTTCCCAGCTGTGTGGGCCCAGTAGGTTTGCTCAGCTGTGACGTGGTGGCTGCTTTCTCCTGGGTGTGGGTGTCAGTGAGGGCTCTTTGGGGCCAGCTAGCAAAGCCCCCGGCACCCTGGTGCTGGATCTCCATCAGCTGTTACTAACGAGAAACAGCTGTGTGAGCATGGGAAGCTTCCAGGGAGGCTGCACAAGAAAACCTGCCAGGGCGGGTGGGGTTGGGTGTGTAGAGGGGAGGGTGGCTGGTGACCCATAACTGCCCGGGGGCCCCCTCCAGACTACGGGAGGCCAGTTGCTCTCCCGCCCTCAGTGCAAGTGAAGTGGGTCCGAATGGAGTGGCCAGCAGGATGGGTGAGGCTCTGGGGAAGCAGGGGCATGACAGGAGGCTCCTGCCAGCTGATGGGGTTTCTGGGTCCAGAGCAAGCAGCTGTGGGCTCAGGAGCACCTGCTGGCCAAGATTGCTGCTCCTCATCACTAAGGAGGGAACCGTGGCGATGCAGGTGGCTCTTGGATCCTGGTGCCACCACCCTATCTGATGGTGATGGGACCTGAGCGTCAAGGCTCCAGGGCATCACTGGTCAAGGGGTTCCAGACCTCCTGCTTGTCACACCCCCCCCACCCCACCCCAGCACTGAGCCCAGGGATTCCAGGTTCTGGGCCTGTCCTGGCCCCCATCACCAGAGCCCTGGGCCTCCAGCACTCCACCAAGCAAGCTCCCAGCAGCTGGGGAGGGATGCCCAGGGAACATTCAGTTTCCAACTCTAGCTGTGGTTTTCTACATCAGGGGCCTGGGAACGCCATCTTTCTCCACAGGATCCTACATGATGTGTCCCCTCCCGAGGAATGGGCCTGGTCACAGGAGTTGATGTGCCTGGCCACCTCCAGAGGCCTTAAGGGCCGCGAGGAAGCTGGTGTATCCCATTTCCCCCTTTTCACCAACAAGACCTTTCCTCCTTTCATGCCACTGGTATGACATACTGGGCCTTACCTCCCTAGACCAAGTACTGCCCTTTTCCTGGCCTGGCCCTCAGCTTCTAGGAACACATTCCGGTTTCTCTCACTAAGGAGAGGTCCGGTCCATGTTGCTGTTTCAAGATAATTTTCACATCACCACACCCACTTAAGCTGTTGGTAGCATCCTGTGTCGGCTTAGGAGACTGAGCTGCTACTCCAGGATAGCATGGTACCCCTGGACTTGCTGTCTTTGGAGCCCTGGCCCCACCCAGTACTTAGCAGGGTTACTGGCACTTAACGGGTGTGCCATGGTTTGCTGTGCTGAATGAACAGTATTCGGCTGCTCCTTTGGGAGTCCCCACAGCCACGTGGGTATTCATCTATCTGGCCAGGTGTTTAATCAGCATGATTTTAGTGCTAGGCACTGTTTAGTGGGGTCCTTAAATAGGGAAGGAAGGTGGCTTGTGCCTTCCAGAAGGCCCCTACTAGGGTTCTTCCTGAGCTGAGGGGCAGGGAGAGGGTGGAACCCGTTTTGGGGCCTCAGCCACAGGCCTCTGCCATCCTTCCTGCAGCTGGGCACCACTCCTGCGACTGTGTCAGACCTCTGAAATGATTTAGGTGACTGTTGTGCCACTGTCACTGTTCCTCAGGGATATGCCTAGGAGGCGAGGTGCAGCTCCCAATTGACCCTCCCCACCCCAAACTAGCTCCCAGTGCAATGAGAAGGAACACAAGGAGGCCAGGAATCACCCTCAAAGGCAGCTTGCTTTATTCTCACAATGCCAGTAGTGGGTAGGGGTGGGCAGCCTGTCTGCCTCCAACCTGAGGCTCTTTGAGCCGAAAGGCCCCCAAGGCCAGCTCTCACTAAATGCACAGGTGCCTGAGGGCTGGCTGGTCCACTTGCAGATTTGAGGCGTAGGGCATCTTCCCAGTCAGTCTAGGCCACTCCCTAGTTCCACGTGGGTCTTGTCCCCAAGGTCTGCTGTTACTCCTGGGGCTTGGTTTCTGGATCCCTCACTGTCTCAGCCTGCCCCTCAGGCCACTTGGGAGAGGGGCCGAGCTGGAGTCAGGTACAGCACTGGGCTCACTTACTTCTTCTTAGATGGACTCTGCCTATCAGCCCCCGCAGTCTCTCCTCTCCCTCAGTCACCGGGGAAGGAGGTGACCTCCAGAGTGGGCCTAGCCAGCCCCGTCCCCACATCTCAGAGTGGAGGCTACCTGGAAAGCTGCTTCCCATTCCTGCCTTCATTTCGCCCACCTTCCCACCCGCCCCACCCTCCCTCTTTTCCTTCCTCCCACCCCCCTCCTTCCCAGCCATCACTTGGGGATTCCACCTTTGTCAGTCTGCCTGAAGGAGCTGCCAGCCCCAAGAGCAGGTCCACAAAACAAACAAAACCAAAAAACCCAACAATTGGCAAGCACAAAAAGGGAGAAAAACCACAAAAATCGGGGTTGCCTTTGCAAATAATGGAGGCTCCCAATAGGGGGAGAGGAACCGGACATTCCCTTGTGCTTAGGAATCTTGGTCGCCTCTCCTTTTCAGCTTCTCTGTCCTCAAGAACCCACGCTGAGAGCGCCCTGGAGGGGTGTGCGTGTGTGCATGCTTGTGTGCACGTGTCTGGGCGCCTGTCACAAGTGCGTGCACCCACAGCTGAAGGGGGGCCCACCCAATACAGGCCTGCCCAAGTGCCAGCTGTTGATGGGGTCGCTGTACTTGGGGAAAAGGAAGCAGCCAATGGAGTGAAGCATCCCTTCTCTGCGGGGGCTTCCATCTGGTAACAAGTCCTGTGTACACACACAGACACGCAATGGACTCAGGGAGAGCGGGAGGCGGGGTCCTGGGAGGCTCTCTGGACCTGGGTCAGGGCCAAGGACCCATGCCCTGGAGCACAGCTGTGCTCAGACGGTGGTGACAGAGAGGAGTGGGTTGTAGACCCGCGTGCCGTCAGCCGAGCGAGTGCCGTGGGCCAGCATCTCCTGGATGGTGATCCAGTTGTCCAGGATCTTCTTGTTCCGCTTCTTCATGGTTTTGCGGTGGCTCAAGGCAATGATGTTGAGCTCAGCCTTGCTTTCGCCATTCTGCTGCTCCCTCAGGCACTCCAGCCGGCTCTGCATCATGAACTCGCGCCGCTTCCGCTGCTCCCGGGCCCGGATCAGGTGCTGCTTCCGCTCCTCCTTGCTCCAATAGCGGCCCATCTTCATCTCGCTCACCGCGTCGTCGTCGGTGGTCATACCGCTGCGCTCCTCCCGGATCTTCAGGGCCCGGGCTTTCAGGAGGCGGTCGCGCACCGGTCGCTTGGCTACGTAGCGGGTCCCATCGCTGCGCACTTTGACCTTCCACTCCATGCGGGGCGCATCTGGGACTGTGGCCGCCGCCCCGCCCACCCGGGGGCCAGCAGCCAAACTCAAGGGGCCGTGGCCCAGCTCCTCCAGGCCACGAGGCGGGGCCAGTTGCATGCAGCTGTGGTAGTGCTCACCCTCCTGGCCCTGGGCACGGTGACGCCGAGAGAGGTAAGGGCTGCCTTCGGGGCCCGCCCGCTCCAGGGGCACCCCAGCCTTGGGGCTGCGACGGACACGCTCTTCTGCATGCTGCCTCCGGCCCACCTCAGGATCCCGGGAGAGGGAGCGGAACTTGGTGGGACTCCCCTGCGGGGGCGCGGCCTTGGGGTGGGTGGTGATAGGGGGTCCGGAGGGGGTCCGGTTCAAGTTGGAGTTTCCAGCCGTGGCCCGCCTCAGAGGGCTCTCCAGCAGGGGCTCCGTGAGCAATGGGGTGCTGCGGCAGCTCTCCCCCGTGTTGTAGGCGCTAGTGCTGTCCTTGTCCGACTTCTCGGGCAGCTCAGAGATGTCAGACAGCTCGTGCTTCTTGGGCTCGCTGGCCCCCAGGTCGTAGAGGCTCTCCTCCTCCAGCAGCCAGGCCTTCATGCAGCGCTCCCGCAGCTGCTGCATCTTCTGCGCCCGCAGGATGTTGCGGCACTTGAACTCCAGGTGCCGCAGCTCCTCCTCCAGCACGGCCATCTCGTGGCCCACGCTCTCGTTGCGGTTGACGTCCAGGGCACCATGGCCGCCCGAGGCCCGAGGGAAGAGGAGGCCCAGCGGGTTGCCGTTCTCCAGGTGGCACTTGATTTCCAGTAACTCGCGGTAGCGCTCGTACTCTTCATCAGTGAGGCCCGGGACGTCGCCACCGCCGCTCCCCAGCCCTGCCCCATCGGCCAGCAGGGAGTCCATGCTGAAGTGGAAGTCGCGGCTCTGCAGGGCGTCCCCTTGCAGGCTGAACTTGCGCAGGGGCCCGGGCGTGTTGGTGGTGCTCAGGGGCTCGTCCCCCAGCAGGTCGTGTTCCGAGCTCTCCTCATTGCGGGTGCTCTCGTCAGTCCGGCCCACCCCGCTGTCCAACTCTTGGCTGTTGCTCAGGCCTGGTCCCACATCAGGAGCTCCTTTCTCCTCTTCGTTTCCAAGCTGAGGCAGACAGATGAGCCCCTCTTAGTCTGGGCCCCAGGGGTGCAGGCACCACAGGAGGATGGTAAGGCTTTCCGGGGGTCCATCTCCCACCCACCCCCAGCCCCTTCCCTCCTCCTCACCCTCCCCATGACTCACCCGCTCTTCCTCCTTCCTCACCTGCTGGGCAGGGGGGGACTTCAGCTTCCGCCCACGCAAATCCCCCTCATTCTCAGAGCCAAAGTCATCCAGGAAGTCATCCCGGTCACTGTCCTTCCACCGCTTGGCCAGCTGCAGAGACAGGTCTGTGCTGTCCCCACTGCCTTAAGAACCTCCCCAGACACCCCTCCAGTTGCCACTAGGTCCCAGCCCACTCAGCCGTCAGGGGCCAGAAGGGGAAACGGGCCCTGGGACACCGCCCACCCTCCATCAGCACCAGGTTGTTGGCATGTCTGTGCCCTCGTTAGCAGTTTTCAAGACAGAAAGTCTGATGTCAGGGGACCCAGGACACCCTGTGGACACACACACCTGACTCTCAGGCCGGGCCACCAGCAGGGAGATGTTGGTGTTCTCCTCCTGGCTCAGGATGGCCACTGCTTCTTCCCGGTTCTGGACGTCCACACCATTTATCTGTGGCAGGCCAAGGGACAATCAACAAGGACCACAAGGCTGGCTGTGGGGCAGGCCCCCGTTGAGCCACAGGGATCCCCTCGCAGGGCGCTCCTAACCTAACAGGCTCTTGAGTTGTGGTGAGAAGGAAACAAGGAGAAGGTGCCGGGGAAGAAGACAGCTGGGCCCGTGCAAAGGCACGAGTGCTCAGAGACCAGCTGCAGCAGGAGATGTGCTCACTTCTGGGGGACGGAGGGCAAGGCTGGCAAGGGGCCAGAGCAGCACAGGCCCTTGAGACCAGCAGATCCCACCAGCACACAGCAGCCACCCACGCAGTTGTGCAGGAGAAAGATGAGACCTAGCCCTGGATTCAGGCACGGCAGGATGCCTGGCATCCAGCTAGGCTCTCAGCAGGGGAGTGCGGGGATTGGCTAAGGGAGTTGGCGGGGCACTCAGCCTGCCTGCCCCACTCACCTGGATGATTCGGTCTCCCTCGCGGATCCGGCCATCTTTGGCTGCAATGCTGTTGGGATTCACCTGCAAGGCACACGCATCACGGGGACTTGGCACCTTCCACGAAGGTGCCCTTTCGGTAGGAAGGGGTAGCCCTGCCTTGGGGAC